AAAGGAGGTGTTGGCTTTGGGGATGACCAGTGAGATATACCTGCTGGAGCGCAGACTATGGGTGGGTGTTGCTATGGTGACCAGTGAGCTAAGATAAGACAGGGATTTGCCTAACAGAGATTTATAGATGACCTGGAGCCAGTGGGTTTGGCGACGAATATGTAGTGAGGGCCAGCCAACAAGAGCGTACAGGTCACAATGGTGGGTAGTATATGGGGCTTTGGTGACAAAACAGATGGCACTGTGATAGACTACATCCAATTTGCTGAGTAGAGTGTTGGAGGCTATTTTGTAAATGACATCGCCGAAGTCAAGGATCGGTAGGATAGTCAGTTTTACGAGGGCATGTTTGGCAGCATGAGTGAAGGAGGCTTTGTTGCGAAATAGGAAGCCGATTCTAGATCTAACTTTTGATTGGAGATGCTTAATGTGAGTCTGGAAGGAGAGTTTACAGTCTAACCAGACACCTAGGTATTTGTAGTTGTCCACATACTCTAGGTCAGATCCGCCGAGAGTAGTGATTCTAGTCGGGTGGGCGGGTGCAAGCAGTGTTCGGATCTGTTCTTATCATTGTCGCAAGAGGCTCTAAAACTATGGTAAACAGGAGAGGGGAGAGTGAGCAACCCTGCCTTGTGCCTCTAGAAAGACAAAAAAAAGGAGACATAATTCCATTCGTAAGTACTGTTGCTTTAGGATTGGAATAGAGGACCCCTATCCATTTACAAAAGTCAGGTCCAAAACCACATTTTTCTAGGGTTCTTAAGAGAAAAGCCCACTCTACCCTATCAAATGCCTTCTCAGCATCTAAGGAGACTGCAGTTTGGGGTCACTTAGAAATGTCCTTGTTTTCGAAAGAAAAGCAGTTTTTTCGTCCCTTAAAATAACATCAAATTGATCAGAGGTTCAGTGTAGACATTGTTAATGTTGTAAATGGCTATTGTAGCTGGAAACGACTGATTTTCTATGGAATATCTACATAGGCGTACAGAGGCCCATAATCAGCAACAATCAGTCCTGTGTTCCAATGGCACGTTGTGTTAGCTAATCCAAGTTTATCATTTTAAAAGGCTAATTGATCATTAGAAAACCCTTTTGCAATTATGTTAGCACAGCTGAAAACTGTTGTGCTGATTAAAAAAGCAATAAAACTGGCCTTCTTGAGACTAGTTGAGTATCTGGAGCATCAGCAATTGTGGGTTCGATTACAGGATCAAAATGGCCAGAAACAAATAACTTTCTTCTGAAACTCGTCAGTCTATTCTTGTTCTGAGAAATGAAGGCTATTCCATGCGAGAAATTGCCAAGAAACTGAAGATCTCGTACAACGCTGTGTACTACTCCCTTCACAGAACAGTGCAAACTGTCTCTAACCAGAATAGAAAGAGGAGTGGGAGGCCCCGGTGCCCAACTGAGCAAGAGGACAAATACATTAGAGTGTCTAGTTTGAGACACAGATGCCTCACAGGTCCTCAACAGGCAGCTTCATTAAATAGTACCCGCAAAACACCAGTCTCAACGTCATCAGTGAAGAGGCGACTCCGGGATGCTGACCTTCTAGGCAGAGTTGCATAGAAAAATCCATATCTCAGACTGGCCAATAAAAATAAAAGATTAAGATGGGCAAAAGAACACAGACACTGGACTTTTTCTTTGCAAATCTACCTATTCGCATCACGAAAAAAACAAAACATCAAAATGCCACCTGGAAAGCTATTTTTAATGCTATATTGATAGTGAATGTAGCAATTTATATGACAAGGAAACAACATTCCCACCTTTTCCAGTGTCAATAATCAATTTTTCCAATATTCTTGATTAATAATTTTAGGAAGCTCACTGGTTAGTAAACTCAAATTGTTTTCAGAGATTAAATTATTCAAAAATGTAGGTTCATTATCATTTCTACACACTTTCTACCTGGCTTTAGTAGTTTAAGTACAGACTGTACTGTACTGCTGCAGTTCAGTAGAGTAGAGTAGAGTAGAATAGAGTAGAGTAGAGTAGAGTAGAGTAGAGTAGAATAGAGTAGAGTAGAGTAGAGTAGAGTAGAGTAGAGTAGTGTAGAGTAGAGTAGAGTAGAGTAGAGTAGAGTAGAGTAGAGTAGAGTAGAGTAGAGTAATGTACAGTACATTATAGTGTACTCAACTCTAGTGAGCTCCAATGCAGGACTGTACTGTAATGTACAGTACTAAACTATACTCTACTCAAAATTGCTTTACTGAACTGTACTCTACTATACTCTACTGTACTATACTATACTGTACTGAACTATACTGTGCTCTCCAGACTTATGAAACATAGACGTCTATGATTGGTTCATATTTGGTCCGATCCGGACTGGACTAAATCTGAACCAATCATGGACGTCTATGTTTGGGCCAAATCAAGTCCGGACCAGACCAAAAATCGACATCTGTGGATGTTGAAATTAAAGCCGGTCCGGACCGTACCAAAAAACAAAAACAAATCCGTGGACAAGGCGGACTGACCAAATTTCAACTACTTTTCAACATCCATGAACGTCCGGTGCCAGTCGGTGCTTAGTGACTAAGGATGCTGGTTACAGTAAATGGAGAGAGAGAGAGAGGGGAGGAGAGAGAGAGAGGGAGAGAGAGGAGAGGGGGAGGGGGGGGAGGGGGGGAGAGAAGAGGGAGGGGTTTGTGGTTAGAGCTCGTGTGGCTGTTCTGTTGGTGCGTCTGTGGGTATGTGTTTTGTTGTTAGATTTTTCGTGTTGTAGTAGGATCTCTAGTTTCGTGTTGCTTCTTTAGTTATTTTTGTTCGTTTCTCGTTCTATTATGTGTGCGTACCTATTGTTTTATTCTTGGTTGTTGATCCTTCTCTACTGGGTTTGGGCTCCGGAGCGTGAGAGTAAAGAGAGGCAATCCGCAGAAGCTGAGTTTTTTAGTATTTAGCATGCGACAGTACTGTTGTGGGTTGGGTAGCTGCGTGGGGAATAGACGTTGCCTGTTTTGCGCCTCTATTTTTCTTGCTTTGCGCTCTGCTTTCTCTCTTGGCATGTTTGATCAATCTCTTACTTTTTTGCTCGCTCCTCTACGCCCTTGTTCTTTCTTTCTCCCCCTCTCCTCTCTCGTCAACGTTTCCCTTCTCCTTTGACCACCAGAAGACAGAAAGAGAAAGAAACCAGTTACCCAAACCAGTAACTCACTGGATTCACCAGACACAGGTCTATAAAAGAGGGTCAACACATCAATATATAATATACAGGATGTGGACACCCCCCTTCCAACTAGTGGATTTGGCTATTTCAGCCACACCCCGTTGCTGACAGGTCTATAACATCGAGCACACCGCCATGCAATCTCCATTTTAGTCATTTAGCAGACGCTCTTATCCAGAGCGACTTACTGTTAGTGAGTGCATACATTTTTCATACTGGCCCCCCGTGGGAAACAAACCCACAACCCTGGCGTTGCAAGCGCCATGCTCTACCAACTGAGCTACAGGGGACAAACATTGGCAGTAGAATGGCCTTACTGAAGACCTCATTGACTTTCAACGTGGCACCGTCACAGGATGCCACCTTTCCAACAAGTAATTTAGTAACATGTCTGCCCTGCTGGAGCTGCCTCGGTCAACTGTAAGTGCTGTTATTGTGAAGTGGAAACTTCTAGGAGCAACAACGGCTCAGCCGCGAAGTGGTATACCACACAAGCTCACAGAACGGGACCGCTGAGTGCTGAAGCACGTAGCGCGTAAAAATCGTCTGTCCTCGGTTGCAACACACACCAAGTTCCAAACTGCCTCTGGAAGCAACGTCAGCACAAGAACTGTTCGTCGAGAGCTTCATGAAATGTGTTTCCATGGCCGAGCAGCCGCACACAAGCCTAAGATCACCATGCGCAATGCCAAGCGTCGGCTGCAGTGGTGTAAAGCTCGCCGACATTGGACTCTGGAGCAGTGGAAATGCGTTCTCTGGAGTGATGAATCACGCTTCACCATCTGGCAGTCCGACAGGAGAACGCTACCTGACCCAATGCAAGTGCCAACTGTAACATTTGGTGGAGTAGGAATACTGGTCTGGGGCTGTTTTTTATGGTTCGGGCTAGGCCCCTTAGTTCCAGTGAAGGGAAATCTTAACTCTACAGCATACAGTGACATTCTAGACGATTCTGTGCTTCCAACGGGTTCTGTAGCTCAACATGGTGAGCATCTAGGACGTCTTGTTCCAATTTGTGGCAACTTCGTCACGCGGGAGACCTTACCAAAATGTTCAGCATGACGTAACTTGTCTGCCGTGCACATTGGAGGTCCATGACACTGCAAAAGGTTTGGTTTGTCGAGATCGGTGTGGAAGAACTTGTCTGGCCTGCACAGAGCTCTGACCTCAACCCCATCTTTGGGATTAATTGGAACGCTGACTGTAAGCCAGGCCTATTCACCCAACATCAGTGCACGACCTCACTAATGCTCTTGTGGCTGAATGGAAGCAAGTCCCCGCAGCAATGTTCCAACATCTAGTGGAAAGCCTTCCAGAAGAGTGGAGGCTGTTATAGCAGCAAAGGGGGGACCAACTTCATATTGATGCCCATGATTTTGGAATGAGATGTTCGACGAGCAGGTGTCCACATACTTTTGGTCATGTAGCGTTTATTGATAAACCTTTTACTGCAGTGGGCTAAATCAGGGTCACACAGAGTGTCTCTTGGTAGTCTTAAACAAATCTTCTTTGAAACAAAAGTATACACCTCACACACGTGGTTATGGTCTTTAAAAAAAGAAGACACTTGTACCATGTCAGATATAGAGTTGAAATGTATTACAGTTTGAGTTTGCATCCCAATATTGCACTTTATATACATCCCAGAAGACTGAAATATAACAAAACTTGCTTGTTTTTAAACTAATTATGAAATGATGAAGAATATGAATACCATTCCACCATGAGGTCATCGACTGCAGGAAAGGGCTACCTAACATATTAATGAAGGTATTGATTGACCCTCTCTATAGACCCGTGCCTGGTGGTGTCTCCTCCCTGTATGAACGAGGCGGACCGATACAGTCTGGAGGCTCTGAGGAACATCCACAGAGAGATGGATGACGACCAGGATGGAGGGATAGAGGTGGAGGAGAGCGTGGAGGTACGTACTGGGGTTTTTGGGGGCCCCTTTGGGGCCCCCCCCAAAGGAGAACGCCTACCTGCCCAATGAAGTGCCAACTGGGAACATTTGGTGGAGTAAATCTTCTGGGGCTGTTTTTCAAATGTTCCTACCCCCGCCAGTGGGGAAACTTTTTCCAAACAGACTTTACCTTCTGGTTTAATTTTGGTAAAACGGGGGGAAGGCCCCTTCTTTTAGCTAAAATGCTTGACAAAAAACCATACAAAGGTTTTTGGTCTTTAAGAACCTTTTTCCCTGCCGGGTTGATAAATTTTATTTTGGGAAGCCCCAACCCAGGCCTTTTTTTCACCCAAAGGGACGCCCTTAACCCAAAACTGCGTTTTTAAACTAAAAATTTAAAATGGATTTGGGATAGGAAAATCCAAACCAAAATGAGATTTTATGAATGCAGAAGGGCCCAACTTTTTATGAGGTTTATTGACCCTTTTCTCAAAATGGGGAAAGGTTTTTGGGTTTTTTTCCTTTCCCTTTGAAAAAAAAAACACCTACAAGGGGGGATGCTTTAAAAAAAAAACCTTTCCAGAGAAAGATTGGAAATTTTGGGACCCAATAATTTTTTAATTAGAAGACAAAAATATAACCCCTGCTTTTTTTTTTAAAAAAGGAATTATGGTTTAAATTCCCGACCGTGGGAGGGGTCCCTAAAATTTTAAGTTTTGCCCTTTTGGGGGTTTTGGTTTGGGGTTTCCCTTCCCTTTTGGCGGGGAAGGGGCGCCGGGTTGTCCGGGGCCGGTTTGGTTGGGGTTTTTTTTTTTTGTCTTTTAGTTCCTGGGGGTTTTTGGGGAAACCCAACCGGGGGGGCGGGGGCCTGGGGGGGGGCGTTGGGGTCGGGTCGCTGGTTTTTTGGGGGTGTCTGTTTTTTTTTTCCCTTTTTTTTTTTTTAACCCAAGGGGCTCCTGGGTGGGGTTGGAAAAAAGCTTTTTTCGGGCTTTTTTTTTTTTTTGCCCCTTTTGGGCCCTTTCTTTAAATTTGTTGGGGTTTATGACGTTGATTAAAAACAAATTAAACCCATTTAAAATAAAATTAAAATGGGGGGTTGGCTTTTGGGGTCAAAAAAATTTTAAAGGAAGGCCTAGGGTTTGCGTTACCGTGGAGATGGGGGGGGGGGTTTGGGAGATTCCTGTCCCCTCACATAGGAATCGAATTAACAGCCAAGGAATTCCAAGTGGTAAAACGCAAACCCAAACCCCCGCACACCCACACCACACAAAACACCACACCACACACACCCCCAACACACAACACCCAACCCCACCCCACACACACACAACCACACACCACACACACACACCCCGCACCACCCGGCACACCCCCCAAACACACACCCACACCAAACAAAACCCCCCAACAACACCAAAAACAAAAAACAAAAAAAGGTAATTTTTTTAAAAAACCGGGGGTTTTTGGGGTTTTGTTTGGGTTTTTGGTTTTGGGTTTTTGGGGGGTTGGGTTTTTTGGGGGTTTGTTGTTTGTTGGGGGGGGGTTTGTGTTTTGGGGGGGTTGGGTTTTTTGGGGGGTTTTTAGGGGGGGGGTGTGAAATCTCTCTTGTGTGTTAGACATTTTCCTTTTGATATTAAGCTGCAAGCTTTTCATAATCCTGGTGTGCATGCTGCTTAGGGTGTGTGTGTTGTGTGTTGTGTTGTTGTTTTTTGTGTGTGGGGTTGGTTTGTTTTTGTGGGGGTGTTGTGTGTTGTGCTGTGTGGTGTATTTTTGGGGTTTGTGTGTGTTGTTTTTTGGGGCTGGTTTGCATCAAAAGGGACAAAGCAAAAACCCCCCCAAAAACCCCAAAAAACCTTCACGAGAGGCCCCAACATCACCATAGAAGAACTGTGGAGGGTGGAATTCTCAAAGGTCCTTTTGTGTGTTGTTTTGGGGATTAAAATATTATAAATTCACATTTTTCCAAACCAACCTCCCCCCCCCCGCCCTCCTCCCCTTTCCCCTTCCCTCCCCCTCCCCCTCCCCTCCCCCCCCCCCTTCCCTTCTCCCCCCCCCTCCCCCCCCCCCCCTCCTCCCCCCCCCCTTCCCCCTCCCCAAAATTTCCCCCCCCCCCCCTCCCCTCCCTACAGTCCATAAATGGACTCAGGGGAGGTGTTGGGGGGCTCAGGAATTTGTAGAGCTGCCTCAGTACGAAAAATTAAAAACTTCAGAGCAAAAGGCAACCCCCCCCCAGGGGAAGCCAACAAAAACCCAAGGCACTTCCCCGGTGGGCGGCCAAACAGAAAACTTCTTTCTAAACTTACTGCCCCCCAGGTTTTAACCAAAACCCCAGTTACAATGTCCTTTGATTTTAGCGGGGTAAACAAAAACAAATCCCAGAGCTGAAAAAACCCTTTCTAAAAACAAAAAAAAAAAAGAAACACGTCCAATCGAACCCTTTAAATTTAACCCTTTTTATTCCCGTTAACAGAGCGTGTTTTGGGATTGGGGCAGGGAACCCAAGAGCCGCCTGAGTGGGCCCCTGAAGATCCTGGACCCGAAGGACAAACAGAAACCAACATCAAGCTTGGAAAGTGGGCGTTTTGGGGCCCTATAAGTGTGTAGACAGTATTTCACACCACACACCACACAAAAACACACCCCACACACACACACACACACACAAAAACACACACACACACACCCAACACAAAAACCCAAAAGACACACCACACACACACAACACCCAACACACACACCACACCCACACACGAGGCTAAAAGGTTTGGGGGGAATGTTTTTTGGTTTATATTTTAAGAAGGGATTAGTTTTGATTTAAGAGGTTGGTTGTTTAAAGGGTTTTGGTTTTTAAATTTTTAAAAGGGGTTGCCACTGAAGAAAGCGAAAAAAAATTAAAATTTTTTACCCTCCCCCCCCCCCCCCCCCCCCCCCTTCCTCCCCCCCTACCCCCCCCCTCCCCCCTTTCCCCCCTTTTCCCCTCCTCCCCTTTCCCCCTTTCCCCCCACATTTTCCCCCCCCTTCCCCCTCCCCCTCCCTCCCCTTTCCTCTCCCCCCCCTTCCTTTCCCCCTCCTCCCCCCCCCCCCCCCCCCCCCCCCCCCCCCTCCCCCCTCCTCGTTCCCCCCCCCCTCCCCCCCCCATAACCCCCCCCTTCTGAAGGTTTTCTGTGCTGGATTTGGGGGTAGGAGGCTGCTGGTTCTCCCAGGTCCAGAACAAAGCTTCTAAAGTCCACATCTCTAAAATGATGAAGGACCTAGAGAGTCTGCAGAGGCTGGTCGCCTCAAGAAATCAGGAACAGGGATTTATGAGTCTGTTCCGATAAAGTGTGTTTGTCCGCAACCTTTTTTTTCCTGCTAACCTGTGTTTGTCCTGCTAACCTGTGTTTGTCCTGCTAACCTGTGTTTGTCCTGCTAACCGTATTTGTTCCCTAAAACCCTTGGTTTTTTGCTACCCTGTTTTCCTGCAACCTTTTTGTCCCCTAACCGGGTTGTTCTAACCCTTTTTTTCCGTAAACCGTGTTTGTCCTGCTAACCCCGTTTTGTCCTCTAACCTTGGTTTTTCCCGTAAACCCGGTTTGCCCCCCTAAACCCGATTTGTCCCCCAACCCCGGTTTTTTCCCGTACCCCGGTTTTCCTGAACCTGTTTGTCCGCTAACCCCGTTTTGTCCCCGCAACCGTGTTTTTTCCTGCAAACCCGTATTGCCAAAACCGGGGGGCCGCAACCTGGGCCGGGAACCGGGCCGGGAAACCGTGGTTTTTCCGCAAAACCGGGGGCCCCGAACCGGGGCCGCAACCAGCCGAAGGGGGGGAACCGGGGGCCACCGAGGCCGCAACCCGGCCGCAACCGGGCCGCAACGGGGGCCGAACGTGGGGCCGCCGGGGAAACACCGGAGCAGGCCCAAGGAGAAAAGCGAACGGGCGGAGGGAAAAAAAACCGGGAGAAAAAGGGGGGATCGGGAGCTACGGACATACGCCCACCCCCAGACCGACCCACAACTGAGGCAGACGAGAACGAGAGGGCTGGACGGAAGACACCACCGACAACCAACCAACCAACCGAACCACCTAACCCCAAACCACCCCACCGACCAACCTACCAACCTAACCTACCTAACACCCAAAACCAACCAAACCAAAAACCCAACCGACCTTGCCTACCTTACAACCTTTTATCCCTAATTATCTTACCTTAAAACCCAACCTAACCTTCCTGACCTACCCTAAACCTACCCAACCTTACCCTTTTCCCCGCCCTTACCACCTTAACCTAACCCCCTTCCTTACCTAAACGCTTACTTACCTTGCCTTGCCTTGCCTTGCCTTGCCTTGCCTTGCCTTAATCTTAGCTAACCATAACCTAACCATAGCTAACCCTAACCTTACTAGCGAACTCTAAAACCCAACTGAGCCGCCTCGATCGTGCAGATGGAGGCGCTGTAACAGGTAAGGTTTTTCCTTCGCTGTCCTCTGTGTCCTGCTGTCCCACATTTAGTTACATTTCTTCTGCCCCAGCCTTCAGCTTTATAGCAAACCAAGTGGCAGGGCTGTTTGGTGGTTTTTCAAATTAAGGAGTGGGCCTTTAACCGCCTTTGATCTTCCAAACACATGCTATTTGGTAACCAGTTCCATCTCCTGTGTGAAGCAAGTCCACAGTGTAGGAAACACTATCAGCATTGGGTAAAGGCTGGTGAAAACGGTCAATCCATCCATCAATCGAAGTCTCTAACCCATCCCTTCTCCTGTGTGTGTGTGTGACTGTGTGTGTGTGTGTCTAGGTGCGTGGAGCGTTAAAGAGGGCAGAGAAGGACATGATGGCTCACTGGTCTGTCCCGGAGGCCCTACAGCTCTGGCTGCAGCTGACCCACGAGGTGGAGGTGCAGTATTACAACGTCAAGAAACACAGTGCAGAGCTGCAGCTCAACACAGCCAAGGAAGAGGTAGGGGACAACTCATTATCTGGTTGATTAGTTGATCGGTTGATATGTTCAGTACTGCCACGTCAAGAAACACAGTGCAGAGCTGCAGCTCAACTCCGCTAAGGAGGAGGTAGGAGAGAGACGTAACCCAATCAGTTTATTGATTCACCGATTGACTGTTCACTGACTTCAGGAGGAAAGAACATAGTGGGACAATTATAGTTCAAACTACATGAAGACCTTCTAAATGACAAATTAAATCTTCTGAAGGTTCTTTACAACGACATGAACAAGAGAATGCATTAAACAAGTCATCTGTCCTTCATATTAACCCCTGGTATGGACATGAACAGGAGGATCTGTCCTCATATTAACCCCTGGTATGGACATGAACAGGAGGATATGTCCTCATATTAACCCCTGGTATGGACATGAACAGGAGGATCTGTCCTTCATATTAACCCCTGGTATGGACATGAACAGGATGATCTGTCCTTCATATTATCCCCTTGGTATGGACATGAACAGGAGGATATGTCCTCATATTAACCCCTTGGTATGGACATGAACAGGAGGATCTGTCCTCATATTAACCCCTGGTATGGACATGAACAGGAGGATCTGTCCTCATATTAACCCCTGGTATGGACATGAACAGGAGGATCTGTCCTTCATATTAACCCCTGGTATGGACATGAACAGGAGGATCTGTCCTTCATATTAACCCCTTGGTATGGACATGAACAGGAGGATATGTCCTCATATTAACCCCTGGTATGGACATGAACAGGAGGATCTGTCCTCATATTAACCCCTTGGTATGGACATGAACAGGAGGATCTGTCCTCATATTAACCCCTGGTATGGACATGAACAGCAGGATATGTCCTCATATTAACCCCTGGTATGGACATGAACAGGAGGATCTGTCCTCATATTAACCCCTGGTATGGACATGAACAGGAGGATATGTCCTCATATTAACCCCTGGTATGGACATGAACAGCAGGATATGTCCTCATATTAACCCCTGGTATGGACATGAACAGGAGGATCTGTCCTCATATTAACCCCTTGGTATGGACATGAACAGGAGGATATGTCCTCATATTAACCCCTTGGTATGGACATGAACAGGAGGATCTGTCCTCATATTAACCCCTTGGTATGGACATGAACAGGAGGATCTGTCCTCATATTAACCCCTGGTATGGACATGAACAGGAGGATCTGTCCTCATATTAACCCCTGGTATGGACATGAACAGGAGGATCTGTCCTCATATTAACCCCTTGGTATTTGCGTATCCTGTCCAGGCAGAGAAGATCAAGAAGAAGAGGGGTTCCCTCATGGGGACGTTCCACGTGGCTCACAGCTCCTCACTGGACGACGTTGACACCAAGATCCTGGAGGCCAAGTGAGACACACACACTTGTTTTTCTATCCTCGTGGGGATCTAAAAATTTATTTCCATTCAAAATCATATTTTCCCTAACCTTAACCTTAACCCCTAACCCTAATCCTAACCCCTAAATTTAAAATAGCCTTTTTCCTCATGGGTAGGTGGGGATTTCAGGTCCCCACGAGGATGGAAGTACAAGATCACACACACAGACACACACACACACACACACACACACACACACACACACAGACAGACACACACATACACACACACACACACACACACACACACACACACACACACACAGACACACAGACACACACACACACACACACAGTGTTAATTGAGTCAACAATAACTATGACAAAAAATACTTGTCAACAACTTATTTTTCCTGACTAAAACTATGAGGATAACGAGATTACTTTTCATTTCAGTCGATGAAAATGTGACGAGACGAGAATTCCACATGAGATGAACGGACATTTACATTTAACTCTACTTTGCATCCGTTTTGGTTCAACCCTAAACACGAAGAATATTAATCATGCAATCCTCTCATTGGGCAGAATTAAACATCTTTCAGTTGGGTGAATCTGATTGGGCTGATCTGACCCGGCTCCTCCCACACAGCTCCCAGGCAGTCACTCTTCAGTCACTCTTCAGTCACTCTTCAATATTTTGAAGTGATGTCAAACCAGGACACTGGACTTGTATCTGACCTCAACTAGGAACAATGTTAAATCAAATCAAATCAAATCAAATTTTATTGGCCACATGCGCCGAATACAACAGGTGCAGACATTACAGTGAAATGTTTACTTACAGCCCTTAACCAACAGTGCATTTATTTTTAACAAAAAAAAGTAAAAATAAAACAACAACAAAAAAGTGTTGAGAAAAAAAGAGCAGAAGTAAAATAAAATAACAGTAGGGAGGCTATATATACAGGGGGGTACCTTAACGCTCTCTCTTACTGTCGTGGAGGCTATTTCTGCTTTGATCACCTCAGAAGCTCTAATGTCCAATGTGTGCTGTTATTCGATCATCTGTGCCCACGGTCCGCAAATGCGAGTTGCGGTTGCTTTTCTCCTATGGGGAAAAACTAAAAAAGCAAATGCTATTTTGTTGAATAAATTTTTTGTTAAAGGTCCGTGCTATCAGGGATCCTTGGGACGTCCCTACCCCATTGAAGTTGACATTTTAAAATGGTTATGGTAAGGGTTAATTAAGGTGAGGGTTAGGTAAGGTGTAGGCCTCCTTTAGCTCAGTTGGTAGAGCATGGCGCTTGCAACAGCCAGGGTTGTGGGTTTGATTCCCACGGTGGGCCAGTATGAAAAATGTATGCACTCACTAAACTGTAAGTCGCTCTGGATAAGAGCGTCTGCTAAATGAAAAAAAAAAGAAGTAAGGGTTAAGGTTAGGGACGTCCCAAGGATCCCAGATAACCTTTTTGTAAAGCTCAAATTCTCCCTTTTCAAGGAAAACGCTGTTATTTACCCCCTTGGCGGTTATGATGGGGAGAAAATCAGAGCTGTACATTGTTTAACCTGTAGCCAAGGCTTTATAGGCTACTGTATATGATTAATTATGGCTGGCATTGGTTACAATCTGCCTGAATATTGATGTTGCCAGCTAAGGTATAGGAGGGGACAGTAGTCCTAGCTGGACAAGGCTATCTGAATAGGAGGGGACAGTAGTCCTAGCTGGACAAGGCTATCTGAATAGGAGGGGACAGTAGTCCTAGCTGGACAAGGCTATCTGAATGGGAGGGGACAGTAGTCCTAGCTGGACAAGGCTATCTGAATGGGAGGGGACAGTAGTCCTAGCTGGACAAGGCTATCTGAATAGGAGGGGACAGTAGTCCTAGCTGGACAAGGCTATCTGAATAGGAGGGGACAGTAGTCCTAGCTGGACAAGGCTATCTGAATGGGAGGGGACAGTAGTCCTAGCTGGACAAGGCTATCTGAATGGGAGGGGACAGTAGTCCTAGCTGGACAAGGCTATCTGAATAGGAGGGGACAGTAGTCCTAGCTGGACAAGGCTATCTGAATGGGAGGGGACAGTAGGCCTAGCTGGACAAGGCTATCTGAATAGGAGGGGACAGTAGTCCTAGCTGGACAAGGCTATCTGAATAGGAGGGGACAGTAGTCCTAGCTGGACAAGGCTATCTGAATAGGAGGGGACAGTAGTCCTAGCTGGACAAGGCTATCTGAATAGGAGGGGACAGTAGGCCTAGCTGGACAAGGCTATCTGAATAGGAGGGGACAGTAGTCCTAGCTGGACAAGGCTATCTGAATAGGAGGGGACAGTAGTCCTAGCTGGACAAGGCTATCTGAATGGGAGGGGACAGTAGTCCTAGCTGGACAAGGCTATCTGAATAGGAGGGGACAGTAGTCCTAGCTGGACAAGGCTATCTGAATAGGAGGGGACAGTAGTCCTAGCTGGACAAGACTATCTGAATAGGAGGGGACAGTAGTCCTAGCTGGACAAGGCTATCTGAATGGGAGGGGACAGTAGTGCTAACTGTGCCACTAGAGATCCTGGTTCGAATCCAGGCTCTGTCGCAGCCGGCCGTGACCTGGAGACTCATGGGCGGCGCACAATTGGCCCAGCGTCGTCCAGGGTAGGGGAGCGAATGGCCGGCAGGGTAGGGGAGGGAATGTAGCTCAGTTGATAGAGCATGGCGTTTGCAACGCCAGGGTTGTGGGTTTGATTCCCACGGGGGGCCAGTATAAAAAAATTAATAAAAAAATATGTATTCACTAACTGTAAGTCGCTCTGGATAAGAGCGTCTGCTAAATGACTAAAATGTAAATGTAAAATGTAGTCCTAGCTGGACAAGACTATCTGAATGGGAGGGGACAGTAGTCCTAGCTGGACAAGGCTATCTGAATGGGAGGGGACAGTAGTCCTAGCTGGACAAGGCTATCTGAATAGGAGGGGACAGTAGTCCTAGCTGGACAAGGCTATCTGAATAGGAGGGGACAGTAGTCCTAGCTGGACAAGGCTATCTGAATGGGAGGGGACAGTAGTCCTAGCTGGACAAGGCTATCTGAATAGGAGGGGACAGTAGTCCTAGCTGGACAAGGCTATCTGAATGGGAGGGGACAGTAGTCCTAGCTGGACAAGGCTATCTGAATAGGAGGGGACAGTAGTCCTAGCTGGACAAGGCTATCTGAATGGGACATGATGGAAGTTAGAGGAAGCCTAAATATTCATTATTAAATAGAAAACAATGACTATTATGTGACTAAAATTACTGACTAAAACTAGACTAAAGTTGTCCAGAGTTTCAGTGGACTGATAATAACTAAAACTAGACTAAAGTTGTCCAGAGTTTTAGTGGACTGATAATAACTAAAACTAGACTAAAGTTGTCCAGAGTTTTAGTGGACTGATAATAACTCAAACTAGACTAAAGTTGTCCAGAGTTTCAGTGGACTGATAATAACTAAAACTAGAGTAAAGTTGTCCAGAGTTTCAGTTGACTGATAATAACTAAAACTAGACTAAAGTTGTCCAGAGTTTTAGTGGACTGATAATAACTAAAACTAGACTAAAGTTGTCCAGAGTTTTAGTGGACTGATAATAACTAAAACTAGACTAAAGTTGTCCAGAGTTTCAGTCGACTGATAATAACTAAAACTAGACTAAAGTTGTCCAGAGTTTTAGTGGACTGATAATAACTAAAACTAGACTAAAGTTGTCCAGAGTTTTAGTGGACTGATAATAACTAAAACTAGACTAAAGTTGTCCAGAGTTTCAGTCGACTGATAATAACTAAAACTAGACTAAAGTTGTCCAGAGTTTTAGTGGACTGATAATAACTAAAACTAGACTAAAGTTGTCCAGAGTTTTAGTGGACTGATAATAACTAAAACTAGACTAAAGTTGTCCAGAGTTTTAGTGGACTGATAATAACTAAAATTAGACTAAAGTTGTCCAGAGTTTTAGTGGACTGATAATAACTAAAACTAGACTAAAGTTGTCCAGAGTTTTAGTGGACTGATAATAACTAAAACTAGACTAAAGTTGTCCAGAGTTTCAGTCGACTGATAATAACTAAAACTAGACTAAAGTTGTCCAGAGTTTCAGTGGACTGATAATAACTAAAACTAGACTAAAGTTGTCCAGAGTTTCAGTCGACTGATAATAACTAAAACTAGACTAAAGTTGTCCAGAGTTTTAGTGGACTGATAATAACTAAAACTAGACTAAAGTTGTCCAGAGTTTTAGTGGACTGATAATAACTAAAACTAGACTAAAGTTGTCCAGAGTTTCAGTGGCATGATAATAACTAAAACTAGACTAAAGTTGTCCAGAGTTTCAGTGGACTGATAATAACTAAAACTAACGAAGGATGAGATGACTAAAATGTGACTAAGACTAAAAGGTATTTTAAGACTAAAACTACATCTAAAATAGCTGCCACACACACACACACACACACGTTAACATGTTGTTCTTTTGTGAAGGAGTTGACATGTTTTTGTGATGGAGTTGACGTGTTCTTTGTGACGGAGTTGACATGTTTTTTTGTGATGGAGTTCACTTGTGTTTTGTGACAGAGTGGACATGTTTTTTTGTGACAGTTGACTTTGTTGTGTCACAGTAACACACTAAACTGATGCATGTTGTGTTGACATAGCTGACATGATACTATATTATAACAGTCGGCCACTTGTGCGTTGGATCACAGGAACGCCCTGTCAGAAGCAACCAGCTGACATAAACTGTGCTTTTGACATCCCTCACAGGAACGCCCTGTCAGAAGTCACGGCCTGCCTACGCGAGCGTCTCCACCGCTGGCAGCAGATAGAGCGTCTGTGTGGTTTCCCTCTCCTCAGGAACTCTGGCCTGGCCAGCCTGACCGCCACGCTGTATTCAGACTCTAACTGGGTGGCGATGCCCAGGGTGTCTGTTCCCACCTTCCCCTCCTGCCATGGATCAATACAAGGCTCTCTGGAGGATCTGATGGAAGACCCCTCGGCACACATCTTAGGTAGGTTAGAGCGATCAGTCGCTCGGCTGGTCAATATAATGAACATATAATATGGTCATTAAGCAGACATGTTTAAGCAAAGAGATTAACAGCACGGTGAGTGTATGTGTATGGGATCACCGTGGTAATCAATCAATCTCAAAATATATGTTAAAAAGACATCCCCATAAAAGACAAACAATAACTTGCATTTGTCTTTTTCCTAGTAGCTGACTTTGCTGATCACGTCTTTATTGAGGAAAAATGTGCTTACTATGACTGAGATATGTGGTTGTCTCTGGATAAGAGAGTGTGCTAAAGTAATACAATGTAAAATATCAATCAATCAATATTTATTATTACAAAGGAAAAAAAATTGAGCACAAAAAGTGTCTATCGGATAAGTTACACGGATGTACGTCCAAAAACATTATGATAACCGTTTTAGATACTGTTTTGAAGCATTCTTTGAATGGGTCAGACTGCCTGTATCTCTGACCTATGACCTTTGACCTTTATTGATCCTTCACCTCCCATCAGTTCCTAGGGTTGCAATGCTCTGGCAACTTTCCCAACATTCCCAGAATTTTGAGAATATTTGGTATTAACGGCTCATAACACTATTACAACTTTCATGAATATGTACAGTATTAATTAGTACTCATTTATTAATAGTCTACATTCTATTAATAAATGATTATTTCATTTTTAGTGGATTATACATGACAGTTAATATAAAAAGTGTAACCTTTTGGAAACTTTGGGAATTTTTACTTTTATCATAATTCTTTAGAAAATTAGAAAATGATCTGTGCGCCCTTAATAATAATAATAATAATAATAATAATACAACATTTTATTTTGCGCTTTCAAGATACCCAAGGACATTTACAGAGTAACACATACAATGGCAAACATAACTATTCTAAAATACTCAAAGCAAAATACATTTACATTTACATTTACATTTTAGTCATTTAGCAGATGCTCTTATCCAGAGCGACTTACAGTTAGTGAGTGCATACACTATTTATTGAAGGCGCATAAAATAGCTAATATATCATGACAATACTAAAATACTACAAGCAAAATGCATTACAACAAAGGAGCATGGCACCCAAATAATAGTAAGATCAATAATACAAGGGGAAACGACAAGGAAAAGGTCCTCAAGGCAGTTCAAATGAGAGTCTACTTCAACAATCTCTGCAGCAACAAGGACACGGCCCTCAAGACTGTTAAAATGAGAGCATACTTCAACAATCTCTGCAGCAACAAGGACAAGGCCCTCAAGACTGTTAAAATGAGAGCATACTTCAACAATCTCTGCAACAACAAGGACCTCAAGGCAGTTCAAATGAGAGTCTACTTCAACAATCTCTGCAGCAACAAGGACAAGGTCCTCAAGGCAGTTCAAATGAGAGGCTACTTCAACAATCTCTGCAGCAACAAGGACCTCAAGACAGTTCAAATGAGAGTCTACTTCAACAACCTCTGCAGCAACAAGGACAAGGTCCTCAAGGCAGTTCAAATGAGAGTCTACTTCAACAACCTCTGCAACAACAAGGACAAGGTCCTCAAGGCAGTTCAAATGAAAGGCTACTTCAACAACCTCTGCAACTCTACACAAGTCCTTAGATAAGTTGTTATGCATGAGTTATTAGTAGACTAAACATATTGTTAAGGAGAAACAAATACATCTAAATTAGAATTTTAGCAATTGATTTGAGATCATTTAGCCATGTTTGGAATGTTGCACATTAAGCCTTTAAGATTTAAATGAGAAATAACCCTTCGTCAAAGAATATGTCGTTCTTACTAACAGTCATCATTACTGCATTTAACATACCTAAGTGGTTCTCAAACCTGTCCTTGGGGACCCCCAGACGTTTCACCATTTTGTTGTAGCCCTGAATTAGGGCTTGATGATTAGTCGACCAGTTGAATCAGGTGTGCCAGCTCTGGAATAGATCAAATATCTGGAATGGCTGGGGGTCCTGAGGAGAGGTTGGAGAACCGCTGCCATACCTGATTCAAGGTTAGCTGCTTTAGTTGAATCAGGTTTAGTTTGATCTTTGTGAGCTTTTCCATTAATAGGTTTTGTCACGCCTGCTCCCGCTCCCCCTCCCTGCTGCCCATCATTACACCTGTCACCATGGTTACACACATCAGCGCTTCATTGGACTCACCAGGACTTCATCACTGCTTTATTACCTCCCCTATATCTGTCTGTTCCTCAGTTTGATCCCCGTGTCAGCATTAATGTCGTTATGTTTCCCATGTCCAGATGCTGTCCGTGTTTTGTTTCATGTCTGTTTATATTAAATGTTCACTCCTTGCTTCTCATCTCTCAGCGTCTGTCCTTACAGAATGCTGACACCACAATTGGAAGCGTCAGGGAGTTTTTTGTTGTTGTTGTTGTTGGGGACGTCGGGTCCGGGTGCCGCTGCCGAAGCAACCGGGGATGCTGGTTCAAGAGGCTCACAAGCCTTGGTTGACTCGGCAGGCTCTCACCCCACACCTCAGCCGGCTCGTCAGGCTTCCACGCCTCATCCAGCTCGTCAGGCTTCCACGCCTCAGCCGGCTCGTCAGGCTTCCACGCCTCATCCGGCTCGTCAGGCTTCCACGCCTCAGCCGGCTCGTCAGGTTTCCACGCCTCAGCCGGCTCGTCAGGCTTCCGCACCTCATCCGGCTCATCAGGTTTCCACACCTCAGCTGGCTCGTCAGGCTTCCACGCATCAGCAGGCTCGTCAGGCTTCCACGCCTCAGCTGGTTCGTCAGGCTTCCATGCCTCATCCGGCTCATCAGATTTCCACACCTCAGCTGGCTCGTCAGGCTTCCACGCCTCATCCGGCTCGTCAGGCTTCCACGCCTCAGCTGGCTCGTCAGGTTTCCACGCCTCATCCGGCTCGTCAGGTTTCCACGCCTCATCCGGCTCGTCAGGCTTCCACGCCTCAGCTGGCTCGTCAGGCTTCCACGCCTCAGCTGGCTCGTCAGGCATCCACGCCTCATCCGGCTCATCAGGCTTCCACGCCTCATCCGGCTCGTCAGGCTTCCACGCCTCAGCTGGTTCGTCAGGCTTCCACGCCTCATCCGGCTCATCAGGTTTCCACACCTCAGCTGGCTCATCAGGTTTCCACGTCTCAGCCGGCTCGTCAGGTTTCCACGCCTCATCCGGCTCGTCAGGCTTCCACGCCTCAGCCGGCTCGTCAGGTTTCCACGCCTCAGCCGGCTCGTCAGGCTTCCGCACCTCATCCGGCTCATCAGGTTTCCACACCTCAGCTGGCTCGTCAGGCTTCCACGCATCAGCAGGCTCGTCAGGCTTCCACGCCTCAGCTGGTTCGTCAGGCTTCCATGCCTCATCCGGCTCATCAGATTTCCACACCTCAGCTGGCTCGTCAGGCTTCCACGCCTCATCCGGCTCGTCAGGCTTCCACGCCTCAGCTGGCTCGTCAGGTTTCCACGCCTCATCCGGCTCGTCAGGTTTCCACGCCTCATCCGGCTCGTCAGGCTTCCACGCCTCAGCTGGCTCGTCAGGCTTCCACGCCTCAGCTGGCTCGTCAGGCATCCACGCCTCATCCGGCTCATCAGGCTTCCACGCATCAGCCGGCTCGTCAGGCTTCCACGCCTCAGCTGGTTCGTCAGGCTTCCACGCCTCATCCGGCTCATCAGGTTTCCACACCTCAGCTGGCTCATCAGGTTTCCACGTCTCAGCCGGCTCGTCAGGTTTCCACGCCTCATCCGGCTCGTCAGGCTTCCACGCCTCAGCTGGCTCGTCAGGCATCCACGCCTCATCCGGCTCATCAGGCTTCCACGCCTCATCCGGCTCATCAGGCTTCCACGCCTCAGCCGGCTCGTCAGGTTTCCACGCCCCCAGCCGGCTCGTCAGGCTTCCACACCTCAGCCGGCTCGTCAGGTTTCCACGCCTCAGCCGGCTCGTCAGGCTTCCACGCCTCATCCGGCTCATCAGGTTTCCACGTCTCAGCCAGCTTGTCAGGTTTCCACGCCTCAACCGGCTTGTCAGGCTCGACAGGTTCCCACTCCTCGGCCAGCTCGTCAGGCTCGCTCAGGTGACACCGGGTGGCGTCCCTAGAGGGGGGGGGGGGGGGGGGGGGGGGGGGGGGGGTTGTACTGTCATGCCTGCTCCCGCTCCCCCTCCCTGCTGCCCATCGTTACACACATCAGCGCTTCATTGGACTCACCAGGACTTCATCACTGCTTTATTACCTCCCCTATATCTGTCTGTTCCTCAGTTTGATCCCTGTGTTGCCTCCCCTATATCTGTCTGTTCCTCAGTCTGATCCCTGTGTTGCCTCCCCTATATCTGTCTGTTCCTCAGTTTGATCCCTGTGTTGCCTCCCCTATATCTGTCTGTTCCTCAGTCTGATCCCTGTGTTACCTCCTCTATATCTGTCTGTTCCTCAGTTTGATCCCTGTGTTGCCTCCCCTATATATGTCTGTTCCTCAGTTTGATCCCTGTGTTGCCTCCTCTATATCTGTCTGTTCCTCAGTTTGATCCCTGTGTTGCCTCCCCTATATCTGTCTGTTCCTCAGTCTGATCCCTGTGTTACCTCCCCTATATCTGACTGTTCCTCAGTCTGATCCCTGTGTTGCCTCCCCTATATCTGTCTGTTCCTCAGTTTGATCCCTGTGTTGCCTCCCCTATATCTGACTGTTCCTCAGTCTGATCCCTGTGTTGCCTCCCCTATATCTGACTGTTCCTCAGTCTGATCCCTGTGTTGCCTCCCCTATATCTGACTGTTCCTCAGTCTGATCCCTGTGTTACCTCCCCTATATCTGACTGTTCCTCAGTCTGATCCCCGTGTTACCTCCCCTATATCTGACTGTTCCTCAGTTTGATCCCTGTGTTGCCTCCCCTATATCTGTCTGTTCCTCAGTCTGATCCCTGTGTTACCTCCCCTATATCTGACTGTTCCTCAGGTTGATCCCTGTGTTGCCTCCCCTATATCTGTCTGTTCCTCAGTTTGATCCCTGTGTTGCCTCCCCTATATCTGTCTGTTTCTCAGTCTGATCCCTGTGTTACCTCCCCTATATCTGACTGTTCCTCAGTTTGATCCCTGTGTTGCCTCCCCTATATCTGACTGTTCCTCAGTCTGATCCCTGTGTTACCTCCCCTATATCTGACTGTTCCTCAGTCTGATCCCTGTGTTACCTCCCCTATATCTGACTGTTCCTCAGTTTGATCCCTGTGTTGCCTCCCCTATATCTGACTGTTCCTCAGTCTGATCCCTGTGTTACCTCCCCTATATCTGACTGTTCCTCAGTCTGATCCCCGTGTTACCTCCCCTATATCTGACTGTTCCTCAGTCTGATCCCTGTGTTACCTCCCCTATATCTGACTGTTCCTCAGTCTGATCCCTGTGTTACCTTCCCTATATCTGACTGTTCCTCAGTTTGATCCCTGTGTTGCCTCCCCTATATCTGACTGTTCCTCAGTCTGATCCCTGTGTTACCTCCCCTATATCTGACTGTTCCTCAGTCTGATCCCTGTGTTACCTCCCCTATATCTGACTGTTCCTCAGTCTGATCCCTGTGTTGCCTCCCCTATATCTGTCTGTTCCTCAGTTTGTTGCATTGTTATTGTTTTGTTTCTCTCGTCCAGATGCTGTTCTTGCTTTGTTTCATGTCTATTTATTATTAAATCCTCACCTTGTACTTGCCTCCTGTCTCAGGTTTTCCATAAAATTAACCAAATTAAAACAATTCCCAAACATTTCCCAAAAAGTGTCCGCAAAATTCCAGAATACATATTTCTGGGAAAAATTTTTAAGTTACCGGGAAAATTCCCTTCCCTTTGCAACCCTAGTTCCACCAATGAAGCGCTCCCCTCGCTCTCGTGGCTCTACCTCCACCGTGTGTCGTCAACGGCGTTCCGGACACGCCTCCTCCTCCTCTTCCTCCTCCTTCTCCTCCGAACCTGATATCCTGATCCCTATCCACACCCCGCTCCCCTGCTTCGAGGAAGAGGAGCAGATCTTCATCAACGCCCAGCGGAGAGGGTGAGTGACTTATCAGATAGTAGAGTCGCACAATTTAAATTCAGTCAATTTAGGAAGTAAACTGACATTCCAATTCTGATTGCAATTTTCTTCAACGCTTCTCTGTGCCCACTGATTACAAGGTGACTCACGGTGACACTCACAGTATTTTCAATGTATGATTGAAACTACATGAATCTTGACAGAATCTTTCTTTATCTTTTCCTTTCTCTCCCTCTCTCTCTTTCTTTCTCACCCTCACCCTCTCTCTCTCTCTCTCTCTTCTCTCTCTCTCTCTCTCTCTACAGAGATTCTCGGGAGATGTATTCAGACACCGATTACAGGACCCCTCCTGTCAGCAGAAGGTCAGCAGAACCTTCCGGAACGGAATCCCCCATTCGGAAGATATCTAGAGAAGAACTGGAAGCTTCCTCGGATGCAGCCACATCGAAGACATCATCTAAAGACGAGCCGGACTCTTCTTCTGCGGAAAACACAGATCCAAGAAAAATACAAAGAGTCAAAAGTGAGACTTCCATGGACACCTCCGCCGACACAGCAGCCAAAAAGATATTGGGTCGTTCGATGGACAGTGTCTCGAGGAAGTCGTCCAGAGATGAGTATCACGAGGTTCCGTTGGAGATTCATGTCTCAAAGAAGAGGTCTCTGCTATCTACAGCCATGATGGGTGTGTCTCTGGACACCGGCTCCAGACAGATGATGAGAGAGAGCAGGGGGGAAGTCTCATTCGACAACACCATGAGAGCAAGGCCCAGAGAAGAAATGGTGGAGGCCATTGGAACGCCAACGAGAAGGATATCCCGAGAGGAGGAGGAGGACTTCTTAGCCGACAGCACTCAGAGGAGGATGGCGATGGCCAGAGACAAACTGACGCTTCATCTGGACAGCAGCTCTTCTCACAAGGTGCTCAGGAAGAAGATAGAGTTCCCAGTGGAACTGTCTTCCACCGCCGCGAGGAAGATATCGAGAGAAGAACACCGCGAGATGTGCTCTCACACTCGCAGACGAACAAACAGCGATAAGATTGACAGATCCATAGACACTCCCACTGGGAAGATCTCCCCGAACAGGGTAGATGGCGCCCCGGAAATCCCCAAACGGAGGATATCCAGGGAGGCGTACGCGGGGTCGTCCCAGTTGTGTCAGTGTCCCCAGGTTTTGGATCAAGGTCAGTTCGGACAACCTGACCTCACCTTGTCCACGCCATGGAAACAAACCCAGACCTCTGACCCTTACACCTCCGAGCACCTGACTGAACTGGTGTATGACGGAATCCTGGAGAAGTCCTGCATCACCCCAGCCACGACCCCTGACCTGCCCCAGAGGATCACGGAAGGAGGAGAAGGAGAAGGGAATCCTCCTGTTCCGCCCCCGAGGAGCGCCCGGTCCCTGAACACGTTGCCCCCTGAGATGAGAGGCGAGAGACACCACAAGGACAAAGACAAAAGCACCAAGTCGTCCAAACTCAAGAACCTTTTTAAGAAGAGGAAAGATTGTTCCCCAGAACGGCCACAAGGGGGCCTGAACAAACTCTGACCATTAACTGGAATTTAAAAACGTTTTTATGTTAATTTTTTAATCAGGAAGTCTCTTGAGGTTATGAAACTCTATTTTTTTTTAAAGAGAGAGACCTGGAAATACCTCAGCCATGAAAAGCTGAGAGGAAACATGAACATTAGTCTTATAGATTTGATTTTCTAAAAACCAATACGGACTGTTGGCTGGGATTACATGTTTGAAAGAAAAAACATGAGCAATAGGATTGATCATTTTTTCAAAGCCAACAAAGACTGATTGGAAACCCAGAAAAATTGTGTCCTGGCCGAATGCGCAGATTGCCGGACCACATGTTCTTTTGGCAATGGCTAGTCAATGGCAGGTACCAAACTCTTAAGTTGACATAGCAGTCTCTTAGACTGATCCAAGTCATACTGGACTGTATAGTCTGAAAACAGGAAGACAACAGGAAACAGGAAGTTTGGTATAACTTTATTGTAGTTTCCTGTGGTCTGATGTTCCCCAAAAAAAAAAAAAAAAATACGATGTAAGACTGAGGGGTATCCTACAAAGTGGAATCAATTAACCAGCTAACTTTGATAAACAACCAGAAGTAACTATTTATTTCCTGGTTCATTAAGAAAGCTAAACTTAGATATGTGTTTTTGGTTGTTTAGTCAATTAGACAATGCCCATTTCAAGCTTAAGTAAAAAATTAATAATAATATTTCATAACGTTTAGGCAAGTCAGCTGGCTAACTCATTGATGCTGCTTTGTAGTGTACCCTTCTGGCCGGATGTCCTCAGAGGAACAAAGAGGATGAAGGGTGTAAGATAAGCTTTGGTGCCTTATGTTGTCTCTGCAAGGAAGTCTTAATAAGTAGACCAATGATGGTGTCCCGTTTTCAGCTTCCTTTTCGAAGCAGTGTGATCCCATACTATGTTTGATCCCCTCCTATGTTCAGCGTTGGGTGTTTAGCACTGAGATATTTATTTCTTGACTAGGAGCATTTCTTAGGAGCTCTTCTCCTGTATGATAGAAGCAACTGGTAGTTTATTTGGATTGGGAGTGCTGTTCAATGGTTCCTATACTATTTTCTCAGTGCAGTCACAGTGCTTTTCAATGGTCCCTAGACCTTTTTGTCAGTGCAGTCACAGTGCTTCTCAATGGTCCCTAGACCCTTTTTGTCAGTGCAGTCACAGTGCTTCTCAATGGTCCCTAGACCTTTTTTGTCAGTGCAATCACAGTGCTTCTCAATGGTCCCTAGGCCTTTTTGTCAGTGCAGTCACAGTGCTTCTCAATGGTCCCTAGACCTTTTTGTCAGTGCAGTCACAGTGCTTCTCAATGGTCCCTATACCTTTTTGTCAGTGCAGTCACAGTGCTTTTCAATGGTCCCTAGACCTTTTTGTCAGTGCAGTCACAGTGCTTCTCAATGGTTCCTATATTTTTTTCTCAGTGCAGTCACAGAGCTTTGCTTGGGGGAGATTTCTAGTATGTGTACGGTTGCAACATGTTGGTAACTTTCCCCAAAATTCCCAGGTTTTCCTGGAATCCTGGTAAGAAGATTCCCAGAATCAAGAGGGAAAATCTGGACATTTGGGGACAATTACCAGTATTTTGTAACCCTGAACATGGTTGAAAGCATGTTGCTCTTTGTTTCTTTGAAACTGAGCTGATTTTTTAACAATTAATTAATTTAATGAAATGAACTCGTTTTTGAGAATTGTTCTGTTCTTTTACTTCCTTTAGGGATGGAAGTTCAGTTTTTCTTTTCAAGGTTATTTGTTTACAGCTTTTATTTTGAAGGTGCCTTGGGGTTAGTTTCTCGAAACTTTTATGTTGAAAATGTTCATGACATCTTTTACTTGTTTGTTAATTGAATATAATTTATTTTATTGACCGTTTCATAGTCTTGCGTGTCTAGGATAGGGTCAAAGATATCTAAAGAAAAGTATTGACAAAGTCAAGGTCCTAGGAAAAGGACCTGCACTAAATACTTTATTCAAAGGAAACTGCGTGAATTGATAATGATGAATTTTTAAAATAAATGTTGACAAACTTTCCAATCGATCATTGTTTTGTAAGTATTTATTGTTTGGTGACATAGTACAGTATCAAATAAAATACTAAAACAGTCACTTAGCTACAGAAAAAGTAAGGATAGCCTTTTTACATCATTGAGAATTCTAATCTGTAAGAAGGGAATCAATTCATTGGTCTGTTCACCTCGAGCAGTGAGTGACACACACAACTTTAACCAAAAAGACAAGCATAAAGGCTGAATTGACAAAACGTGTTGTAAGAGTTTCTAGGAAAAACAACAACACTGATTTGATCGTAGAAAAACTCATTACCCACAATACATCTCTAAGGGGACGTAGCAGCTACAGTCTCCGCTTATTTTCTGCCGCTCCTCCTTGCTCCTAATATTTAAAAAAACAACAACAGAAAAAACGGTCAACACGGTCATCATAACCAGTGGTGAGGAACAGACATTCAGTTAAGTGACTGACACCTTGATACGTAACAAAAACTAACTGATATCAGTAGCCGTGTATCCCAATGTCCTCACTCACTCACCGTGTGTTTCGACGACCCAGAAGGCAGCAGGAACGAGGAGCAGAAACAGACCTTTGGAGGCCAGCACCAGGACCCAGCTCAGAACACAGTCAAGGTCAGGGCTGTCATGGATGTTCTCTGTTTAATGGTGAGGTACATTATCAGTGGGCAACTTTCAATGAACTTTTAAGACCATCAACCGTTGTGTCCTTTCTACGTTACACGAAGGGAAATGGAAATGTTGTGTTTAAACTGATATTGTTTGACAGTGAAAATCTTCTGATGATACAAAGGTAAAATCCATGTTCCTCCGTCTGTTTTTGTCACATAAAGACATTTATACACTTTATAGACTTTTTCCAAATGAAACCGAATAGATAAAACAGAAACATGTAAAAAAAAATAAAAAAAATAAAAAAAGGAGTTTGTTCTTACCAAAGGAAATGGTTGTGGTGGCGTTTCCATAGCGATAGACCCCTAGGTAATACACAGCCCCGTCGGATCTCTCCTGCTCTTCCCTCCCCATGGTGGCGCAGTAGTACAGTCCCAGGTCAGACTCAGTGACGTTCTCAATCAGCAAGTCATAGAATCTCAGAGACCGCCTCCAGAGGAAAGTGAAGCGGGGGACAGGGTCCTTGAACGACTTGAAGACTGAAACTTCACACGTTTCACTCCCACGAGAACAGTTTCTGATCCAGACTGTTTCTATGTTATGACTGATGTCACAGTGAAGAACAACGTTGTCTCCTGGTCTGACTCTCAGCTCCACCTCTGCTCCAGAGATCCCATCCTGACTGGAGGAAACAGCACCTACAGGAAGCAGAGGAACAGTGTTAGGATGAACTGACTGGAGGAAACATCACCTACAGGTAGCAGAGGAAGGAACAGTGTTAGGATGAACTGGCTGGAGGAAACAGCACCTACAGGTAGCAGAGGAACAGTGTTAGGATGAACTGACTGGAGGAAACAGCACCTACAGGTAGCAGAGGAACAGTGTTAGGATGAACTGACTGGAGGAAACAGCACCTACAGGTAGCAGAGGAACAGTGTTAGGATGAACTGACTGGAGGAAACAGCACCTACAGGTAGCAGAGGAACAGTGTTAGGATGAACTGACTGGAGGAAACAGCACCTACAGGTAGCAGAGGAACAGTGTTAGGATGAACTGACTGGAGGAAACAGCACCTACAGGTAGCAGAGGAAGTGGAACAGTGTTAGGATGAACGCTACGAAACTACAACAATGTTAGAGACTTAAAGTCCCTTTACAATAAAGATGGCCTGCTATGCAGTTTCATGGCCTACAACACACAGAATAGACCACAGATTGGACTCTATGCCAAAAAATACCTTAAAATAACACAAATCAAATTTTTTACAGTGAAGCAATGGGAAACCATACATTTTCATCTCAAATCGATCAATATAGACCTGTAATGTAAAAGTTTACTCACTTAACAGTGTGATCAGAGCGATACACAGCCTACCCATTGTAGGGTCTGGTGGAGACTGTCTGGAGAGTAGTAGAGGGGTATTTCCATTTCTAGGAGCATAGAGTTAGAAAGACATCTGCCCTCATGGCCTCAGTTGACTACTTCAATGATACTGCCCATGCTTAAACAGGCTTTGTGACAACACGTGCCCTCTACCCATCTCTATGTGTAGGAGGCAGTCATCATTTAACACCTTTGTTGAACCTCTTCATGCTAGTTCAGGCACTTAGGTAGGACCCACACACCAGACCTGGGTTCAGATACTATTTGAAATCTTTCAAAAACCTTGATCGTTTGCTCTGGCCTGCCTGGAGTACCAGGTGGTTGCGGTTAGAGACCATTCTATTGGTCCGTTTAGTCAGGCAAGCTCAATCAAGCACCGATTTAAGTATTTGAAATTATTTCAAATAGTAGTTGAACCCATATCTGTTCAGACCACATACTGTATAGGTGCCGATGGTATTGCACTCAAGACAACATATTTAAGTTGCTATCTGGTTATCTGACTCTTCATACATTCATTTAATACTACTTCTATTGGGGACATTGAATGACATTCATGTACTGTTTTATCTTATCACAAGCTAAGGCCAAATAGGTAATAAAGCTTTTGGAAACAGTTGTGGTTTTCTGCAGGCCTGGCCTCCCACGCCTTGAACCTCCAGCCCATACCTCACTGAGCAGCAGCAGAGCTGAATCAACCACAGACTCACCTAGGCTTGCACTTTGCACACACATGTATACGCAGGCAAACCCACGCACACACACAGGCACGCTCACACACACACTCACACACACAAACAGAGGCTAAGACGGTGTGGTTTAGATGTTGAGGGTGTGGTTTATATTTTAAGAGGGAGTGGTTTCGATGTTAAGAGGGTGTGGCTTAGATGTTAAGAAGGTGTGGTTTATTGACTAATAGGTGTGACATATATTGTAAGAGGGTGTGGTTTAGATTGTAAGAGGGTGTGGTTTAGATTGTAAGAGGGTGTGGTTTAGATTGTAAGAGGGTGTGGCATATATTGTAAGAGGGTGTGGTTTAGATTGTAAGAGGGTGTGGCATATATTGTAAGAGGGTGTGGTTTAGATTGTAAGAGGGTGTGGTTTAGATTGTAAGAGAATGTGGTTTAGATTGTAAGAGGGTGTGGTTTAGATTGTAAGAGGGTGTGGTTTAGATTGTAAGAGGGTGTGGCATATATTGTAAGAGGGTGTGGTTTAGATTGTAAGAGAATGTGGTTTAGATTGTAAGAGGGTGTGGTTTAGATTGTAAGAGGGTGTGGTTTAGATTGTAAGAGGATGTGGTTTAGATTGTAAGAGGGTGTGGTTTAGATTGTAAGAGGGTTGTGGTTAGATTGTAAGAGGGTGTGGTTTTAGATTGTAAGAGGGTTGGTTTAGGTTGTAAGAGGGTGTGGTTTAGATTGCAAGAGGGTGTGGTTAGCTTGTAAGAGGGTGTGGTTTAGATTGTAAGAGGATGTGGTTTAGATTGTAAGAGGGTGTGGTTGAGATTGTAAGAGGGTGTGGTTTAGATTATAAGAGGGTGTGGTTTAGAGAGTTACAGAGATGCTGAGGAGAACCGCAACAGTTTCTACCTGTTTGAAGATGCTTGTCAGTAGCTCAGTAAAGCTTTCAACCACGTTCTCAATTGAGTTACACAGTGAAATCAAGTTAATCATACCACAGAACCATAGAATCTTTGTAAAATCAAGCATTTTTATTTCAAAAGATAGGTATTGCAAAGCAAAATGTCACCAACGTAAATCACATATTAACAAAAGGTTAATCCAAAAAACACATTATTGTACATGTTTATACCTCTTACGGGCGGCAGGTAGCTTAGTGGTTAGGAGCGTTGTGCCAGTAACTGAAAGGTCGCTGGTTCTAATCCCTGAGCCGACTAGGTGAAAAATCTGCCGATGTGCCCTTGAGCAACGCACTTAACCCTAATTGCTCTGGATAAGAGCGTCTGATAAATGACTAAAATATAAAAAAAGTGTGTATTGGAAATTCACTGATGCAGATTTTTATTAAAGCTGGTGTATGTGTAGAAAAGCAGTTGACTGGTCTCTGCTCTCTGAGGGGAACATCGCAACTACAGTTGTGTCATGGAGAATGACTGGTCTCTGCTCTCTGAGGGGAACATCGCAACTACAGTTGTGTCATGGAGAATGACTGGTCTCTGCTCTCTGAGGGGAACATCGCAACTACAGTTGTGTCATGGAGAATGACTGGTCTCTGCTCTTTCAGGGAACATCGCAACTACAGTTGGTGTCATGGAGAATGACTGGTCTCTGCTCTCTGAGGGGAACATCGCAACTACAGTTGGTGTCATGGAGAATGACTGGTCTCTGCTCTCTGAGGGGAACATCGCAACTACAGTTGTGTCATGGAGAATGACTGGTCTCTGCTCTCTGAGGGGAACATCGCAACTACAGTTGTGTCCATGGAGAATGACTGGTCCTCTGCTCTCTGAGGGGAACATCGCAACTACAGTTGGTGTGAGGGACAGAGAGACAGGAAACCAGTGGTTTGGGGGACAGAGAGACAGGAAACCAGTGGTGTGAGGGACAGAGAGACAGGAAACCAGTGGTGTGGGGGAAACAGAAACGGAACAGGTTGAGGAAAAAGGGGGTAGGGACAAACGTGTGGAGAGACGGTTTGGGGTGTGAGGGACGAGAGACGGAACCAGTTGTGGGGGAAGAGAGACAGGAACCAGTGGTGTGAAGGGACAGGAGACAGAACAGTGTGTGAGGGGAAAGAGGGGAGAGAGGAAAATGGAGACCGGGAGAAGGGAGGGGGAACAAGGGGGTGGGGGAAAAGGACAGAGACAGGAAACCAGTGGTGTGAGGGACAGAGAGACAGGAACAGGTGTGAGGGACAGAGAGACAGGAAACCGTGTGGGTTTAAACCCTTTGGGTTTTACTCTTAATTGACGTTAAAGGAAATTTTAAACAGTGTGGGCCTTCACCACACATGAAAGTCACACCTCAAATTTGGAGCATTACATTTACGTCATTCAGCAGACGCTCTTATCCAGAGCGACTTACAGTTAGTGAGTGCATACATTTTTTCATTCTGGTCCCCCGTGGGAAACGAACCCACAACCCTGGCGTTGCAAGCGCCATGCTCTACCAACTGAGCTACAGGGGACTACATTAGAGGTGTTGATGAATCTGAACGACGTTGTTTCACTCAAAATAATATTCTTAAAGCAGCATCCTGGTCCCACGTACAAACTATTTAATACTACACCTTACTGTACATCATGCATACCTGGAGAAATATTATTAGATAATAATTATCATGACATTTTATTTTACAGTCTCTCTCTGTCTGTCTCTCTCTCTGTCTCTCTTTCTCTCTCTTTCGTTCTCTCTCTCTCACACACACCAACAACACCAAACACACCATCCACACACAGCATCCCAAGACACCACACAGTTGGGGGGGGGGGTGAGACCTATACCAGCCATCAGTGCAGAGCCACAGTGTCTGGCCAAGCAGTTGACATGTCACATGACAAGAAGATGGAGAAGTCTGTAGAGAACCTGAAAACCTCCACCTCCCTTAACCCAATGAAAGGATTTTCACACACAGCAATTGGCCTACACTCATGCAAAAAATGTTTTATGACAAGTGAGGTTTGCAGAGATGCATGTGTGAGAAATGTGTTGTTACTCCCACGTATGAAACACCACAGTGACGTCAGGGGGACAGGATATCATTGTGAGTTTACTCAGGATGCGAGTTGCTTGCTCTGCAGTGGCAGTTGTCAACTTAAGAGGATGAGGAATGCAAAAATTGTTATGGTCATTTAGCTGATGAGAAAATGATGGGCCCTAATCAAAGAGTTATTGTCACGGCAGATCTGAAACCCAGTTCTCCTACGGGAGACACCAACGTCTTGACCATTAGACCAAGAGGAAATTCCCTCTTGGGTGGAGGGCAGACACTAGCCTGTATGCTATCTGTATGCTAGCCTGTATGCTATCTGTATGCTAGCCTGAATGCTAGCCTGTATGCTATCCGTATGCTAGCCTGTATGCTAGCCTGAATGCTAGCCTGTATGCTATCTGGATGCTAGCCTGTATGCTATCTGTATGCTAGCCTGTATGCTAGCCTGAATGCTAGCCTGTATGCTATCTGTATGCTAGCCTGTATGCTAGCCTGTATGCTAGCCTGAATGCTAGCCTGAATGCTAGCCTGTATGCTAGCCTGTATGCTAGCCTGAATGCTAGCCTGAATGCTAGCCTGTATGCTAGCCTGTATGCTATCCGTATGCTAGGCAGGGCTACAACTCACGTCCGCTACATTTACTCCCCCTTTGACACACACACACACACGTCACGTGACAAGTAGATGGAAACAATTGTGGTTTCTACAGACCTGAAAACTACCCTTCAGAACTGAAGCCCCTCTAACCTCTCATTAACCTCTCTCCTACAGACCAGCATTGCTAGCTGAGTAAACCACAACCACACACATATGCATACATACACAATCATCACATAAACCCACATATGTACATACACAAACACTGATATATGCACACTACAAACACGTGCAAAAATACATTGACCACTACTAATGTTGATAAGTCTGGTATTAGGATGTTGGCATTACAGTACTCATATAAGAGTTAGTCACTGATTGGCTGAAAAGACACACTCAGTACACAGGAAACCCACACTGACTTCCTGTTGCTGTTGCCATGGTGCTGCTATTCTCCTGATGATGAGCTCACACATGTTCTCACCGAGTGCATCATATCTCTGTCCATGTCCTATTTGTTTTCCCACTGATCCTGAATAAAAAGGAGATCGTTAGATACAGAAATACATCCACAAAGATAAAGAACTACAATTTGTTTATCTGTTTAACTACAATTGGCTTGGATGTACCGTCACATACTCTCCAGAGAATCATGGTTATTGTAGTTTGTTATTGTGGCGCCTTCATTTCAGGGTGTCCAAGGTTGGTGAGGGCTATATGCTAGGTGGATAAATATAAATATTAGAGTAATAAATATTATACTATAAATATAAATACTACATTTAGTAAAT